TCGATGGATCACATCTGCCAGAAGTGTCACAGCCTGAGATTAGCTCCAGGATCGGGGAAGGGCACAAAACCCGCAGCCCGTCTGGGCCCGTGCCCTTGCAGAACACCCAAGAAACTGAGCGGCTTAGACCTGGGAAGCACATGAAACAGAGGGCCCACGTGGGACAGTGCGCTTGCAGAGCACCCTGGAGCCTGAGCAGTGTGGACCCAGGAAATGCATGCTGCCTTGGGCTGTGGCAAACCCAGTGTGGTTCATCCAGTGTGAGCGCTCCCCACACACGCCAGTGGAGTTTGTTGGTAGCGTCCATCTCTCTCCACAGCACAACTGGACAAGTGAGCCGAAATGAGCAGCCACCTTCACCCCCTCGTGTCAGGGCAGAAATTAGACACAGAGATTTGCAAACAGAAGAAGCCAAAATAAACAAAGAAGGGTGAACTTCTCTGGAAGTGACAGGTACAACAGATTACAACTGCAGTTAATGTTGAGACTATGCATTTGAGGGGCAACTATAGACCTTGAGAACAAGTACAAGCCTGAACAAGGGATTGATACTGAACTGACACCACACAGCATAGCCAAAGAAATTCCTAGATATATTTTTACTATCATAACTTTTCAATTCTTAAAAAACTTTAGTTCTTTACTACTTTAACTTTCATTTTTATAGCTTACTATTTATTACCTTTCCAAAAAAAACCCTATTTTTTAAAAAAACAATTCTATATATATTTTTTAATTTGGGGGATCGATTTTGTTTTGTATTTTTTTATATTGTATTTTTGAAACTCTAATGTCTATTCTAGGTTTTTAATCTGCTTTTTTCTATTTGTTATCAATTTTGTACCTTTAACAATCTGGTCTTCAGTATCCATTTTCAGTTAGGGATTTGATTACTCTCAAAGGTCCAACAAGTCAAAGCTATGGTTTTTTCAATAGTCATGTATGGATGTGCAAGTGGGACTATAAAGAAAACTGAGTGCTGAAGAATTGATGCTTTTGAACTGTGGTGCTGGAGAAGACCCTTGAGGGTCCCTGCAAAGAGATCCAACCAGTCAAACCTAAAGGAAATCAGTCCTGAATATTCATTGGAAGGACTGATGCTGGAGCTGAAACTCCAATATTTTGGCCACCTGATGCGAAGAATTGACTCACTGGAAAAGACCTTGATGCTGGGAAAGATTGAAGGTGGGAGGAGAAGGGGACGACAGAGGATGAGATGGCTGGATGGCATCACCAACTCGATGGACATGAGTCTGGGTAAACTCTGGGAGTTGGTGATGGACAGGGAAGCCTGACATACTGCAGTACATAGGGTCACAAAGACTTGGACACAACTGAGTGACTGAACTGAGCTGAACTATTTTAATTATATTGATAGCTATTTATAATAAATTTATGTATTCATTTGGTATATATTTATTAAATAGTTATATTTAAGACACATTGATGATCACTATGAGTACAGACATTAAAAATACATGATCCTTTTCTTAAGGACCTTATGTTTAGGCCTTTAATCCATTTTGAGTTTATTTTGTAGCTGGGGATACATATTGATTATGCATTGATGCATATTGATTAAAACTTATAATGAAATCTCTAGTATAGAGGTGTGGAAAGTGTTGTTGAAAGTAAAAGAAAGGATTAGTTTTGCTACTAAGAACTAATGGAAGAGCCATGGAGTGATTCACAGAAAAGGTGATATTGGAATTGGACATTTAATACAATGTTTCATCACTTTGCTCTAATTAAAATATTAGATTTTTTTAGGATTTAGTCACCATATTTACCTTGATTATTAGAAAACTTTCGTCTAGAAATGAGTTATTCCTAACTTTTATACCATGTTCTATTCTTTGAAATTTGGGGAGTTTTAACCCTGAGTAAATACTTACAATATTTAAGAATCACAAAGGATGCTGAAATCAGAATTAAGTACACCAGTCAGAATGGCCATTATCAAATAATCTACCAACAGTCATTGCTGGATAGAAGGTGGAGAAAAGGGCTTTTCTGCATTGTTTGTCAGAATGTAAACTGATAGAGTTATTATGGAGATTCCTTTAAAAACTAGGAATAATTATACCATATGACCCAGCAATCCCACTACTGAGCTTATACCCTGAAAGTCACAATTCTAAAAGACACATGTACCCCAATGTTCACTGCATCACTAGTTACAATAGCTAGGACATGGAAACAACCTAGATGTCCATTGACAGATGAATGGATAGAGAAGTGTGGTATATGTATACAATGGAATATTACTAAGCCATAAAAATGAATAAATTTGCTATATGGAAACACAAAAGACCCTGAATAGCCAAAACAGTCTTGAGAATGAAGAATGGAGCTTGAGGAATCAATCCTCCTGTCCTCAGACTGTGCTAAAAGTTATGGTCATCAAGGTGGTATGGTACGGACAGAAAAATATAGAAATATATACCAATGGAACAAGGTAGAAAGCCCAAAGATAAACCTACACACATGTGAGCACGTTGGCTTTGACAAAGGAGGCAAGAATATCCCATGGAGAAAAGACCATCTCTTCCATAAACTGTGTTGGGAAAACTGGATAGCTATACATAAAAAAATAAAAGACAAAAACCACTACAATATTGTAAAGTAATTAGCCTCCAACTAATAAAAATAAATGGAAAAAATAAAATAAAATTTAAAAAAAGAAAAGAAAAGAAATTAGAACACTGCCTAACACAATACACAAAAATAAATTCACAATGGATTAGAAACCTAAATGTAATGCCAGAAACTATAAAACTCTTAGAGGAAAACTTAGACAGAACGCTCTTTGACACAAGCCATAGAAAGATCTTCTTTGACCTACCTCCTACTGCTGCTGCTGCTGCTGCTGCCTAGAGTAATGGAAATAAAAACAAAACTAAACAAACGGATCATGATTAAACTTAAACGCTTTTGCACAGCAAAGGAAGCCATAAAGAAGATGAAAGATAATCCTCAGATTGGGAGAAAATAATTGTAAATGAGATAGCTAACAGAAATTTAATCTCTAAAATATACAAGAAGCTCATGCAACTCAATATCAGAAAAACAATCCAATCAAAAAATGGGCAGAAGACTAAAACAGGCATTTCTCCAAAGAAGACATACAGATGACTAATAAACACATGAAAAGATGCTCAACATCACTTATTATTAGAGAAATGCAAATCAAAGCTACACAAGGTATCACCTCACACCAGTCAGAATGACCATCATCAAAATATATACAAACAATAAATGCTGGAAAGGATGTGGAGAAAAGGGAATCTCAACACACTGTTGAGAATGTAAATTAATACAGTCACCATGGAGAACAGTATGGAATTTTCTTTAAAAACTAGGAAAAAAGCTACCATATGACACAGTAATCCCACGACTGTGTACATACCCTGACAAAAACATAACTGGAAAAGTCACATGTACTCTAGTGTTCATTGCAGTACTATTTACGGTAGCCAGAACATGGAAGTAACCTAGATATACATTGACAAATGAATGGTAAAGAAGTTGTGATACATATATACAATGGAGTGTTATTCATCTATAAAAAAAGGAACAAATTTGAGTCACTTTTAGTGAGGTGGATAAACCTGTTATGCAGAGTGAAGTCAGAAAGAGAAAAACAAATATTGTATATTAATGCATATATACAGAATCTAGAAAACTGACACTGATGAACCTATTCCTAGGTCAGCAATAGAGAGACAAACATAGAGAACACACTTGTGGACACAGAATGGGGAAAAGGGTGGGACAAATTGAGACAGTCGCATTGAAACATATACATTACCATATGTAAAATAGATAGCCAGTGGGAATTTGCTATATGATGCAGGGAGCTCAAACTGTTGCTCTATGACAACCTAGAGGGATGGAATGAGGTGGAAGATGGAAGGGAGGATCAAGAGGGAAGTGACATATGTATAGTACTAATAGTAGTCTTAGTCACTTAGTCATGCCCAACTCTGCAACCCTGTAGATTGTAACCCATCAGGCTTCTCTGTCCATGGGATTCTTCAGGCAAGAATATTGGAGTGGGTTGCCATTTCCTTCTCTAGGGGATCGTCCCAACCCAGGGGTTGAATCCAGGTCTCCTGCCTTGCAGGCAAATTCTTTACTATCTGAGCTACAGGAAAGCCCACGTGTATACCTATGGCTGATTTATGTTGACGTATGATAGAAAACAATGCAACATTATACAGCAAATTTCCTCCAATTAAAAAATAAATTTAAAAAAGAATTACAACAGGATCTGGAAAGACTCTTGACAGTGTCTGCTAACTCTTTAATTGTAAGATTACAGAGGGGTTTCTGTGCATCAATTTGTAATCTCTCAAATATAACCAATACTAATTCTTCCACTTAGGATATTTGTGAGGATTAAATGAAATAATGCGTGTTAAGCAGTTGATGCTATTAATGGTAGAGTGTATGAATTCAAGAAGTGTTCAGTGTTAGAATTATTAAGAGTTAAGAAGAGGCTAGACAATGAATTATAGATATATCAAACATAGTTATGCCTGAAATTAAGACAACATTGTAAATCAACTATACTTCAATTTTTTAAAAAAAAAAATTAATACTAAAATAGTGTGGAGTATTTTGGAAAAACTGCAGAGAATTACTTTCCAATGAAGGTCTACTTGAAGGTTTGAGGAAATAAGAATGTCTTTGTAAAATGTCATTATTTGGAAAATTTCCAGGCAAAATAGTGACAATCCTATTTTTGTGGGGCATAATTATGTTATATTCTAGTTGTTTCTGGTTTTAATGATCATCTATGGTGATAACGTTGATGAACAAACAGCTCTGGATGTTAGTATTTGACTCTGCTTTGATTACACTCAAGTTTTCTAATTGTTTAATTATTGGTGCTTTGCTGATATATTTTCCAGCAACATTTGTGATCACAGATAATTAAATATTTCTATTTTGCTTCATTATCATACATTTGCATTTACTTTGTCTGATTGCTGCAGGTGGAAACAATAGGTGATGCATACTGTGTTGCTGCAGGGCTCCACAGAAAAAGCCTTTGCCATGCTAAGCCCATTGCTCTGATGGCCCTTAAGATGATGGAACTTTCAGAAGAGGTGTTGACACCTGATGGAAGACCAATTCAGGTAAGCCTCTCAACAATTCTGTTGGAATAGTAATGCACCTGTAAATGAAGAAGGCAAGAAATTCCTTTCTGAATTGTACTTACTCTAGTTTACAGATCTAGATAAGCCAGTTGCTTAAGAAGAAGGGATCACTAGCGATAACTTATAAATCCAGGAAAGGAACAAATGAAATATGACCTGCCCAGAATAGAAAAAAGTGTGAGGAAGACAAATTACCCTGGGGAAAAAAGTTAAATGATTAAACCAAGGAAGGAACCTGCTGTCAGTGACCAGTTCACCCCCACCAAGGAAGGGTGACGATAAAAACTGGTCCTGAGAGATAATCCATAGAGCAAGAAATAAGAAGCGAGAAGTTGGAGGACCTGGACAACTTCCTATGGATAGTGTACAGGTGTTCTTATGAGCTCAGGGCTCAGGGTTACTTTTGAATTGTTTTTTGTTTCAGAGCTTGAACGTTGGAACCTGCAGACTTAAAAAAAAATGCACAACGTGAAAGTTGTGAGTTTAGTTTTATTTGAGGCAAAATGAGGACCGCAGACTGGGACATAGCACCTCAAATAGATCTGAGGAACTGCTCTAAATAGGCAGGGGCAAAGGTCAGTATATATGTGATTTTGGTGAAGGAGGAATACATGCAATCAAGCACATGTGTTTTGGCAAATGATTTCTGCTAGTCACAAGGAGCAATCATCACCATGAAGGAATTTAGTGCTTTTCTAGATATGAGGAGATACAAGAATTGGGCTAATAAAATCAGCTCCTGAAAATACATGGCTATCTGAAGATCTGCCAGTCAGTTTTTTCCTGAGCACAGAGTGCTTCATTTCTCTTCTCCACCCTGAACTCTTCAGGGAGTATTGAAAATCAGCAGCTGCAGCAGCACATGTTTGAATCCTCATAGAGGTAGATGGCAAGTGCCAATGGCAAGTGCAAATTTGTGCTTGACAAGCCCAAGATTGAGGAAACATCAAAAGCTAGAAAATGTAGTTTCCAGTGTATTGTACTCTTTTTAATGTTGATAGCTGTCTGCAATTCGGGATTTACATCTGAGAATGGATGAAGTCACCCAGCCATATTTCTGAAAGCATCAGATAGATCCCAGAAATACTTTTACTATGAATATGTATAAAATTTGTATTTGGCAAAGTAACCTTGAATTCAAGGCATTTCTTTAATAACAGTTCATCAATGATGGGTTAAAAAATACAGAAAATGCCTCAAAATATGAATATATTTCTAGTTTGGCACTATGGCAAAGTAGATATTCTGAGTGACCCTTCTTAATAAAATTATTAAAATGTAGTATTAAATAGTTTACAAATAGGATCTTTTTGGAAACTACTAAGCATATTACTGAACACAGATATATAGATATAGATATAGATAGTTGTATTTATATATAAACAAAATTTAAGTGGTGAATTAAAGTGCTCTGTCATTAGAAGTGATAACAGGACACTAGAAAACACTATCCCTCCATGAGGAAAATCAACCTCAATTCCCTCTTCAAAGAATTTCCATAGATAAAGTTCTCTAAAAAATGAGTGCCTAATATTAAATACAAAGCAAAATAAAACAAAGGGGAAAAAACACACACTCACATAAGAAAGCAAAGTACTAAGAGAAAGAACCAATAGAAACAGGAGATGAGAAAAACAGACCTGGACTGTTGTCAGATATCAAAATTATTGTACATAATCTAAATGACTTTCCTTAGTATAAATAAAGAACTAAAGAGAAGCTTAAAAATCCAAGGCTGGAAAAGCTAGGTTTGAAAATGAACCAGAGAATTTCTAAGCAATCAACACTACACCAAAACAAACAAAAATAAAAAATCAAGCAAACCAAAACAAAAATACTCTCAGTAGATGAGTTTAGAAGCAGATTGCTGCTGCTGCTAAGTCGCTTCAGTCGTGTCCGACTCTGTGCGACCCCATAGATGGCAGCCCACCAGGCTTCCCCGTCCCTGGGATTCTCAAGGCAAGAACACTGGAGTGGGTTGCCATTTCCTTCTCCATAGAAGCAGATTAGATACAGCCAAAGAAAATATCCATAAATTTGTCCAGAGAATTAAAAATAAGGAAATATGAATAAAAGAATGTAAAATATGTAGGAGACATTATAAGTTCAGTTGGAATTACCTGCACATGAAGATAATAGAGAAAATATTAAAAAAATTTTTCTGGAATTATTGAAAGACACAAATCAGGTCTCAGACACAGTAATCTTAAAGAATTCTACAAAAGAGAAATCATAGGAATTCAAAACTATATCTTTTGTTTTACATTAATGTGTTATTTTTACTTCTTAAATAAAATGTATTTTAGTTTACTTTTGATGTTTTAATTCATTTGTACTTAATTTCATGATACATCTGCAATGTGTATGATGGGATATATACATATACATTTTTGAGATATAGTTGATTTGCAATATTTTATTATTTCAGGCGTATGACATGGTGATTCAAAAGTTTTACAGATTATACTCCACTTATAGTTATTATATAAGATATTGGCTATATACCCTGTGCTGTACAATATATCCTTGCATGCTTGTGCATGCTAAGTTGCTTCAGCCGTGTCAGATTCTTTGCAACCCTATTGCCCACAGCCCCCCAGGCTCTTCTGTCCATGGGATTCTCCAGGCAAGGATACTGGAATGGGTTGCCACGCCCTCTTCCAGGGATCTTCCTGACCCAGGGTTAGAACCCACTTCTCTATATCTCCTGCATTGGTAGGGGGGTTCTTTACCACTAGCAGCATCTGGGAAGCCCACTTTATATTCTTACAGCTTATTTATTTAATACATAGTAATGTGTACTTCTTACTCCCCTATCCCTATTTTTCCCCTCCCTTCTTCCTTCTCCCCACAGGTAATCAGTAGTTTTTTTTTTTCTTTTCTATATCTGTGAGTCTATTTCTTTTTTGTTAAATTCACTAATTTGTTGTAATTTTTAGATTTCACATACAAGTGATAACATACGGTATCTGTCTGATTTATTTCACTAAGTATAATATCCTCTGGGTCCATCCATTTTGTAGCAAATGGCAAAATTTTATTCATTTTTTTATGTCTGAGTAGTATTCTGTAGTATATATATACCACAATCTGTTGATTAACCCTTAGAATATTTCCATATCTTCATAAGTGTAAATAATGCTGCCATGAACATTGAGGTGCACATATCCTTTCAAATAAGTATTGTGGTTTTCTTTAGCTATTTATACCCAGGAGTTGAAATGTGGGTCATATGACACTTCTATAATTTTGCGGGGAAGTTCCAAACTGTCTTACACAGTTGCTACACAAATTCACATTTCCATCAACAGTGTATAAGAGTCCCCTTTTCTCAACATCCTCACCATTTGTTGTGGTCTTTTTTATCAGAGCCATTCTGACAGGTATGAAGTGGTATTTCCTTGTGGTTCTAACTTGCATTTTTCTGATGACTAGGGATGTTGAGCATTTTTTTTCATGTGCCTGATGGAAGTATATCTGTTCAAGTTTTCTGCCCATTTTTAATTGAATTGCTTATTTTTTGGCATTGAGTTGTATGAGCTGTTTATATATTTTGTTTATATATTTTATGTATTAACTGCTTATCAGTCATATTATATGCAAATATTTTCTTTCATTCAGTAGATTGTCTTTTCATTTTGTCCAAGGTTTCCTTTGCTATGCAAAACCTTTTAACAAAACTAGACGTATCTTAGTGAGACTGCTTGCTCCTTGGAAGAAAATCTATGAAAACCTAGACAGCATTTTAAAAAGCAGAGACATCACTTTGTTGACAAAGGTCAGTGTAATCAAAGCTATGGTTTTTCATTAGTTATGTAGGGATGTGAGAGTTGGACCATAAAGAAGGCTGAGCACTGAATTGATGCTTTCAAACTGTGGTGCTGGAGAAGACTCTTGAGAGTACCTCAGACAGCAAGGAGATCAAGCCAGTCATTCCTAAAAGAGATCAACCCTGAATATCCATTGGAAGGGCAGATGCTGAAACTTAAGCTCCAGTACTTTGGCCACCTGATGCAAAGAGCCAACTCATCTGAAAAGATCCTGATGCTCAAAAAGATTGAGGGCAAGAGGTGACAGAAGATGAGATGGTTGGATGGCATCACTGACTCAATGGACATGAGTTTGAGCAAACTCTGGGAGATGGTGAAGGACAGGGAAGCCCAGCGTGCTGTAGTTCATGGGGTCACAAAGAGTTGGACACAGCTGAGTGACTGAGCAACAATTAGACTGCAGTGCAAGAGAGAAAAAGAGGACATGATGAAAGACAATAGTGACATTCATCAGTAGGGAAAAGATGGGCTATTAGATAAATGTTTGGGGGCCAATTGGTTACCCATGTTTAATAAATATGTAATTGCATCCCTACTTCATGTGTCTGCACATAAATCAATTACAGGTGGATTAAATATTATAGGCTGTAGTATACAATTATTAATTTATAATTAGGAATTTATAAACTAAGTGATTTATTTACTAAACTATAACATACAGCATGTCAGTTTCAGGTGTACTACATAATGATTTGACATTTGCATACAATATGATATAATCAGAAATTTGAATGAGAGTAGAGAAATTTTTGGAGACTAGGCAGTCCAAAACTTTCAAACCATAAAAGAAAATATGGATAAATTTTTATACGTTAAAAGTAAAACCTTTCTGTTTGTCAGAGAACACCTAAAGAGAATGAAAAGTTAACCACAGCTAGGATATTTTGCAATACATATAAGCAATAAAATATCATTGGTTAACCTCATCAGCATTCATATTAGATATATTAATAACACTATAATGTAACTTTCCTACATACGAGTTTGGCACAACTTTGAAGGTCTGACAGTGACTTAATTGCTGAGGAATTGAAGTAGCGGGAAGTCTCATACAGAGCTGGTGGGAGTATAAATGGTACAATTCGCTTGGCATTAACTAGTAAAATTTAGCTTGTGCCTTTCTTACAACCCAGTAATCCCTCTCTCAAA